CCAGTAAGAGTTTAGACGTGAATTGTTAGTGAGTGTATAATTATCATGACAAGTCATGTGGGACCCAGTATGAGTTTAGACATGAATTGTTAGTGAGAGTATAATTATGATGACAAGTCATGTGGGACCCAGTAAGAGTTTAGACATGAATTGTTAGTGAGAGCGTAATTATGATGACAAGTCATGTGGGACCCAGTAAGAGTTTAGACGTGAATTGTTAGTGAGAGTATAATTATGATGACAAGTCATGTGGGACCCAGTAAGAGTTTAGACGTGAATTGTTAGTGAGAGTATAATTGTGGTGACAAGTCATGTGGGACCCAGTAAGGATTTAGACTGGAGGCGATGGTGAGAGCAAGTAATTAAGTCACTTGCTCTCGATTACTCCCAAGTTTTCAGCAGACGATTCAATTTTCGCAGTGGATAACGCCCAGTCGTTGCTTTGACGTTGCATCTCATCGCTCTTCCTCGTTGCTTGCTGTAGAAACCGTCCGGGAGAGCGACTGGGACAACGTTGTCGCGTGTCACCGAGGTCTGGCGGTGGCGACGACGTGGTCGACGCAGCGAGGGTCGATGGGCAAGCACAAGCTGTTACACGAGCGCTTCGCAGAGCAGGGACAGCGAGCCGTCGCCCTGGTGAGTACAGCACCGCGCTAGCGGGCGGGGAAATTATGGGACTCATTTGGTCTGACTAAGTAAGGAACGTTGATCTGTGGGAAATAACTAAGTAACAACCGATCGCAACTGACATCAAGCGAAGAAAGTGGAGGTGGATTGGCCACACCTTACGGAAACTCAGAGACTCCATTGCCAGACAAGCACTGGCGTGGAACCCACAAGGTCAACGGGGAAGGGGCCGTCCGAAAACTACATGGAGGAGGTCGGTCGAAGCCGAAATCAAAGCCGAGGGACACACCTGGGACACCATCAGGCAACTCGCCCAACACCGAGTCAGATGGCGAGGATTTATCAGTGACCTATGCTCCACCCAGGAGCCACGGACGTAACTAACTAACTAGCGGTTGCTGAGGTGACAGGTGACCTCTTGTCTCACGTTTGCATCCTATGCGTCTGCTGCAGGTCGTCACGATGAGTGCCTGCGGAAACTTCTGTCTTGTCGGCTACAGTTCTGGCCACGCGGATCTCTTCAACGTTCAGTCGGGACTACACAGAGGCTCGTACGGAAATCCGAAAGGTAAATTCTCTCTCTCTTCTCGTGCAGGGAATAGCACGCTGCTACTCATATGGGAAAGGGCACGCCTTTACTCAAATGCAGTGTTTCCTTTGGCCAAAAAGGTCTGTAAGGTGGTAATGCTTTTTTGATGTGTTTGCGCGCTTCGAGGTCATAGCAAAGCGAGCACCGCAGGTGCAAATTTTTGAAAAAACATTACAATTTGGTGAGTTTTAAGCAATTCTGAACAATTTTTTGTCAGCGAGGTGTTTTGGACAAATTTCTGTGTGGCGGCTGAGAATTTGAGTGAGGGCCCTTAAGCACATTGTCTGTGTGAGAAAAAGAGGAGTTCCAGTCATCCATGGAAGAGCCCAATGTACTACTCATACGGAAGAGGGCTTCAGCGATCTCCGGTTAATATCAGACGTGATGAGTTTGGTTAGTGTCAGATGCTACGAGTGGGGTTTTCTCGCGTTTCCAGCGCACGATGATGCCGTGAGAGGCGTCGCAATCGATGGACTGAACCAAGTGACGGTCACCGCAGGAGGAGAGAGCACTCTCAAGTTCTGGCGGTTTCGGGCGAAGGATTGTTTGCAAGTCTTGCAGTTGTCCGCGGCCGTATCTCAGATACATTTTCATAGAGAAAGGTATGCTAGTGGCATTTCAGCACATAGCTCCTCATACAGGATGTGGTGAGCTTGTATTTCGCATACACATCCACTAATGAACACTGGCCTGACTTTCTTAAACTACCCCTACAGATAATGCTAAGCCTCACCTATCTAAGGAGGCTTCGCGCGTCCCTCTCCAGATTCTCGGCCTAGCATGTGTGAGGTAGTCACCTTAATAGGGGTAGCCGGCTGGTCACGTCAATAGATAACACGAACACTGTATTACAAAAGCTACTCTCCGTGCGTTCTATTACACGACCTAATATTCGTCCCAGGTGGCTTGCACTTTAACAGCCTAAACAAACAACTCTACGATACTAAACAGATGTCTACAAGCCGTAACAGTCGCGCCGCGTGTCACGTAACCGAATACAAGTAACCTCGTACCTTAAAACGCGGATCGCGAAGTAACTTGGCGAAGTGAAGGTGGTGGAAATAAGGAGTATGGAAGGAATAGGTGTAGGAGACCAAGGGAAGATCACTAGCTCGGAAAAACTGGACTATGCGGCTGAGAGGAAAGGGCCCGAGTGCCCTAGCTTGGAGTTTAGCATCCACAGATCGCGGCGCTCGACTAATATGTGTCACTCGGATGATATATGGTGAGTGACACCAATAGGTGTCCCTCGGATGATGTAGTGCATTATTTATGGTATCGCTTACGTCCTGCGGCTTCGCCGTGCGATAGCTCATGTAGGGCGGCTAGTGTAGGGCGCTATAAATAATATCTGGAGAAGCCTGCGCTGTCCTACACTTATCGTCAAAAGGTAAACCTTAGTAAACAGGGTTCTCCCTGGACCTTGATTATTAAATAACTGATTACTAATAATAAACACCTTCAGGCATCGTAAGGTGAACCACGGTCATCATCAAAAGCTTGGTCCCAGATACATGTATGCCTTCAGGTATCATACGTCGAGTAGTGATAATACGCGTGTATTCTGACATATCTATCACGTGTGTGTGTGTGTATTGCAGTGCGATGCTGGCCGTGGCCCTGGACGACTTCTCTGTGACCGTCATCGACGTTGACATACGACGAGTAGTGAGAAACTTCAGCGGTCACGCAGGCAGAATCACGGACATGGTGCGTGTGGCCGCCCTTTACAATTCTATCGCCTCGCCCGCGTAATTTAATAGATACACTTGCTGTGAGTGCGGTAGCGTCGTAAAAACATCGCAGCATCTACGTCGTGAGAGCGAAGGGGTGGGATGTAATACAAACAGCTTTCTTCCATTTCAAACAAATAGTTATATTCGTTTGTAACTATATCAGTAATATACCGTGTTGCGTGGGTGCAAGATAAAGCTACCACCGCTTTTGTGCGGGGCAACGGCGAGCGTGGCATCCTTATAACATACTTCCACGTCAACGATTACTTCTTTGTGTGATTTGCGGAAGGAATTAACTCGGTTGTGTATTTCAGGCGTTCAGTCGGGATGCGAGATGGCTGGTCACTGCATGTATGGACTGCACTATACGTACGTGGGACCTGCCTACCGCCACGTGAGTTCATTACCCATCCGCCTTACGACGGTTGGTGGTGTGTACATGTCTGAGCGACGCGGGAGTGTGACACTGCTTTCATCGCAACGGCTTGGAATGAGATGCTGTCAGAATGAATCGTCATTAGCAAAGAGAGAGTCATTTTTATTTTGTAGGAGAGAAGTTGAAATACAGAAAATATGCTTCCCCTGCTCATGAGTTAGTAGCAGTATTCTTGATAGTATTGTAATTGCTAGGAGCAAACCAATATTACACTTAATACAGTCCAACTCGTGTATGAGGTTCACTTAAGAGAAATGGCAAGAGTACCCCTCATAGCCAGACATTCTGTTCTATAGAGGTGATCGTTAACACAGGTTTGACTGCATTTCAGTTTGGTAGACTGTTTCCGTGTGGATTCAGCCTGCACCTCACTTGGCTTTTCTCCCACGGGAACGTTCCTCGTCACTGCTCATGTCGACGATCTAGGCATTTACCTCTGGTCCAACTGCACACTGTATGCGCATGTGTCGTTGCGCCCTCTACCGGTAGACATTGTACCGGAGCTTGTGGATTTACCGACAACGTTGGAGCCTAGATCCGGTGTGTAGAACCAATATTTGCTTAATTGTGTGATTTTTTAAACTGTAGCTTAATTGCGACTGTGCCTTTTCATCGTAAGAGTTTTACACAGTGACTCAGTGTATTCTTTAATGTTTTCAGTTTCAAGCAATGTCACCCCTCCCTTGAATAACAATATGTCCTATATAGATACTTTGACACTTTTGAAATTGGGTGGTGCAAAGAACCAATAAGATTTTGGCAGGCGTGCTTGGCTGTGTAAAAAGAATGCCGAAATAAACTGTTAAAAGGTCATTATGTAGAGTAGTCAGGACTCTACTAATATTACTGTATTTGATATATCAAGAGTACATAATAGGAGATAGAGGATCTCCTATTATGTACTCTTGATATATATATATATATATATACTGTATATGATGGAAGCTGTCATTGCTATTCTGCGCCTGTACTCTGTACATTCGTGTTGCAGGGGAGGAGCTGGAGGAGCTACCAGACTCTGTGGAGGAGGAGGAAGTAGAGGAGTACAAGTCTCCTGAGCAGATTGCTGATGAGCTGGTGACGTTGTCTCTACTGCCCAGTTCTCGGTGGAAAAACCTAACAAACCTTGATCTAATAAGGGTGAGTTTCTCCCCAAATTATGGCCTGATATTGTCAGAGTAACTAGCTATAACTTTGCTTGGTGCTGTGGGAATCTAGACAGCACTTGGCCTGAGAAAGGTGGTTTAGCTAGCCTATAATAATATAATAATTAGGTAGGCATATCCATACATAATTTGTCTGATATATTTAAGCAACTAGCCAAACCTTGACTAAGGATGTGCGTGTAACTAACAAAACATTCAAACCTTATGCTGGTGGGTGTGATGTATGAGAATCATTAACACATGCACACCTTTTCGTACAGGTAGTTCGTACAATAGAGGCTTTTTTTGGCTTAATGAATTGCATGTTGCATTACAGAGGCGGAACAAACCCAAAGAACCTCCCAAAGTTCCGAAGGCTGCTCCGTTCTTTCTGCCCACAGTTGCCAATGTGCAAGGTTTCGAGTTTGCCACTACTGACGGCGCTGAAACATCAAAGGATAAGGTGAGCTGCCATACCAAGAGAAAATCATATAGATGGGTCTCCCTCTGTGAGCCGATCTGCTCTAAGACAAAGATTTCATTTCTACTATTTGGCGGTCGCTGTGGTTTTACAGTTGGTGCGTTTTTTGTACTGCAGGGGGCAGCATCGCAGGCCGGGAAGCTGAATCGACTGAAGCCACTCTCTCAGTTCGGCAGCGCACTGGAGAAAGCACACACGGACGCCGCATGTGAGTCTCGCTCTCGACTTAACGCTGCGTCTAGATTCTTCCGCCAGCACCACGCGTAATCACTGCTGTGTGTACTTCGTCTTCGATTCTCGACTTACTGTATACGCTGTATATTTCGCGGTGGTTAATTTTCGTGAATTTCGCAAACGCCTCCCTGACAGCGAAAATAACAACACGCGAATAATTCATACCGAATAATTCATAATTCACCGACCGCGAAATTAACCACTCGCGAAATTGTCCGTCAAGTCTGAATTCGCGAAAATATCTGTACGCAAAAAATATGGCGCATACAGTATCCTCAGTGCGCGTTGTGAATTCCTTTCTTCGCAGACGGAGCGTTGGTCGACGCGCTGAAGGAGATGGGTCCGTCGGCGATAGACATGGAGTTGCGCGAGCTGGCACCGGACGGCGGCGGATCGATCGCACTCATGCAGGCCTTCCTCGACCTGCTCCACGCCACCTTCGAAACCCGGCGAAATTACGAGCTCGCTCAGGCCTACCTGGCTCTCTTTCTCAAGGTGAGATGTTGACCGTGTGATCGTGTCATTGATTAGACGTCCTGTAGGTATATATCTCTACGTCCAGGTGAGATGCTACCCATGTGATCGTGTCGTTAATTAGACGTTCTGCAGGTATCTCCATGCCAAGGTGTGATGCTGCCCGCGTGGGTGTGCTGGTGGGTTGAATAGCTACCTGTGCTTCCTCCTTTTTAGTTCACATGTGCGTGCGTGCGTGCGTGCGTGCGTGCGTGCGTGCGTGCGTGTGCGTATTATTAGGGTATACTTATTCGCTAGGGCTACCTGTCAGTCGCTTCAGGCAGATGGGTCAGTGCTAACAGCTGTACGTACGTTCTCTTTCGCCTTCAGTACATGTACCTGTATTTGAATTACATGCAATAAAGATTTAATAATAATAATAACGTTGGCAGGTGCATGCGGACTTGATCGTGGAGGAGGCAGCACTCGCCGAGAAACTGCAAGACGTGGCCGACATACAGCAGGACACGTGGCGCCACCTGCAGCTCATGTTTAACGAGAGCATTGGTCTCGTTAGCTATCTAAAGAACACTACATTGTGATGCTGAAGGATGTTGAGGAGGAGGGGCAGGGGCAGGAGGAGGAGGAGGAGGGGCAGGGGCAGGAGGAGGAGGAGGAGGGGCAGGGGCAGGAGGAGGAGAAAGGGCAGGAGGAGGAGGGGGAGGAGCAGGAGGAGGGGCAGGGGCAGGAGGAGGAGCAGGGACAGGAGGATGAGGAGGGGCAGGGCAAGGGGCAGGGGCAGGAGGAGGAGGAGGAGGGGCAGGGGCAGGAGGAGGAGGGGCAGGGGCAGGAGGATGAGGAGGAGCAGGAGGAGGGGCAGGGACAGGAGGAGGAGGGGCAGGGGCAGGGGCAGGAGGATGAGGAGGGGCAGGAGGAGGAGGAGGGACAGGGGGAGGAGGGGCAGGGGCTGTGGCAGTTGCATGCAACAAGTGCATGTAGATGATCATGTACAACATGGCAGAGGTTTGTAATAGACAGCTTTGTCTGTTATGTTATCGCTGTTCGTGTTTTATTTGTCGTTTACATTTGTCTTCACTTCAGTCTATTGTGAACTTTTGAACGTATAATAGCTGTTAGTAGATGGTCGGCAGTGACAGACTGAGCGAAGTTACTGTAAGCGCAAATTCGTTTAGTAATAAAGTTTTGTACATATGCAGCGACTAGTCTTTCACTTATTTAGTTCTACTCTTTCTATGAGAGTAAAAACGAATGCATTTCATGTGATGCATCTGGTTTATTTTAGACCTGTAACAGGTCACGTAACAACAACATGAAATGACATCAAGAGATTCTTGGCTATATTGCACATCACACAGATCTATATACTTTGTTCTGATTCTATAAAAAAAACTGAGATATGCAAAAATGAGCTTCACATACATTTCACTATGTAATGGTAGTAATAAATACATTGTCACGTTGATATTAACATCTTATTCTAGGAGATAGTGACAGACGACTGGACGACTAGACGAGACTGCCAAAAACAAATTATATACGTACACTTGTAAATACTCAGTGAAAGCACTAATTCACAACCAGAGACGAGTCACATATGTAAATATTCTCATATCAAAACATTGGCAAGCTCAAGGACGGTTACAATTGGCAAGTTTGACACGGCTGTACAACCACACAGTAAACACTGACTGTACCGAATACTGGAGAAATATCACCTCCGTGTATATATAGCGAATAAATAAAACTAAATACACCCTCAGGCGCTACACTACCACAACAGGATTGTGCGTTCGCAGGTATACAGTAGGTGCCCACCCATCGGTGAATCCCAACTCTCCACTCAACTCACGTCGGCTATGAGGCGTTCGACGGCGTCCCAGTCTATACACGACATGACGCTACGCCCGCTGCTCAGCGTGTCCACCCTCACGCCGTCCGACCCGTGCACGGACGCGTCTAGTTGCTCGCGTGGCGGCGGGGAAGGAGCGAGCTCGTGGCGCGGCGCGGCCCCCTCGTCGTCCCTGTCCTGCGTGATCACACGCGTGCTGTGCAGAGTTACCCTCGGCGCAGGCTGCGGCGCGGCTCGTGCGTTGCTGGAGATGTCGCTAGCAGCAGCATGTGTCTTCCTGGGAGCAGCGCTAGGTGCCAGACCGATGATGGCTCGACCCAGGCTCTCGTCCTGCGTGTAGAAGTGTTTGAATCAACAGTTAAGCCAATGTAGTGAGGGGATAGCCATATGTGCCATGATAAGTTATTCTTATATCACCATCCACAGTATCCTAAGATAACTTATTCAGAGTTGTCACTCCCATCCCCCATAATCTATTAATCACATACATATACTAGGGATGAGAATGAGAAAATCCAACTCCAAACAAAAAGTCCAAAGCCCTCACATTTCAAAGCTCCAAGCATTCACACATCTCATCAAAACTAATACAATGTCACATTGAATGTGTTTTACTCGTTGATAAATACAAACTAATTTGCGTAATTGTTATACTACACACACGTTCTCACATTATGTGTACATATAACACATACATGTACAAAGAAGAACCTTATTGAATAAAGGTACTGTTGAGAGTTAAAATACAGATTTTACATTCTTAACCATATCCCCTCCATAACGTTTCACAAAATCGATCCCAGGGACTGTCAAATCCGAGAAATTTCTCGGATCCGAGGAAACTTCTTATCCCTGATATAAACACATATGTGTATGTATGTATATATATATATAAATAAATATACAATATATTATCAGCATTAGCGCATGCACACCCACACACACGCAGCGGCACACAACAGCACAGCACAGCACACACGGCGTGCGCACACACACACGCACACACACGCACACACACGCACAACAATCACATGATGACTGACCATCCACAGCGGTCCCTCCTCAAGTATCCTCTCCACCTGTGACGGCACACTCCACTCGCTCTCCACCGAGCTCGTGGGGCTGGGCGGCGGCGGCCGGCGGCTGCTGCGTGCTCGCGGCGTCGGCGCGGGAGCGACGGATCTCCGCGGCTGCAGATCCTGAAGGATCTGCGCGTACGTGCGCGGCTTGTGAGCGGGTCTCCCCGCCACCAGGAGTCGCCTGTTTAGCGTCACCGTTCCACCTGCGCAGCAAGTGTGCCCGAGCGTTTACGATTACAGCGTTACAAGAGTAAGAATCACGTAGTAATAAGTAGCAGTAATAGTAGCAGGAGTGAATGAAATCAGATTTGGACGAAATGTGTTTGCAATCACTCGGGGTTGTAGTAATAATAGTGCAAGTGTTAGAGTTTTCGGGAAAGACTCAAAGGTAGTTAAGCGAGAAACCACGCATGCATTCAAACAGCTGTCAGGTTGGCTAATATCCAATGTTGTTTGCTGTATTAGTTATGAATACCGGCTACAGTCTGCTGTCACTCACTTGCTATGGGATTCCTTTCGATCGTCTTCCCCGGGCTCCTCCCAGACACGGCTCCCCCTCGGTGCGCCCTGCTAGCCGCAAACTTGAACTTCGGCACAGGCTTCTTTCCCGCAGCACCTCCCTTCTTCGTCTGGCTACCCGCCGACCCTGCATGCTTGCCGTACACCTGTCTCTTTACTGGTGTCGACGCTCCCTTTCTCGGAGGCTGGGTCCACCATAAGGCACGCGCCCCTCTGTGCGTTGCGCGGCTGATGTCAGCTGTGCGGTGCTCCGTCGCCGGCGCGGCAGCAAACCGCACGCCGGCTCTCTCGTCCGCGACTCTGCGTGTGGCGCCCCCTACCGCGACCGCTCGCCTGTCGCTGCCGGACGGAAAGCCGGCGTCGCCCCGCGGCGTGCGTCCGCCGGGTCGTGCGAGGTCGCCGATGAGACGGAGCGCGTCCGCCGTCCGTTGTTCGACGTCACGCTCCAACCTCCGCGCTCGCTCGTCCGCCCGCCACGCGGCCGTCGCCACCGCCGGCCGCCCCTCTGTCGCGCCACGCGTCCGATCCCGGGGATACCGCGCCACGCGAGCCTGACGTCGTGTGGCCGACGACGCGCGACCTGCTGACCTCCGCTCAGTGGCCGGGGATCGGTTTTCTTTCCCCGGCGCCGACGTGCCTGCGGCGGTCGAGGACCACTTCTCTCTACCCTGCTCTGCTGCGGTGACGGCCGAGATACCTTGCGCTGGCTTGGTGGAGTGGTCGCCGGTTCTGCTTGCGTCGCGGGCCGTAGGTGGGGAGGTCGCGAGAAGGTCGCGGGCCGTAGGTGGGGAGGTCGCGAGAAGGTCGCTGAGTAGCTCGACCGCCTGCCGCTTACGATGCGTGCGCTGAAGCTCGAACTGACCGCGTCGCTCTGTCGATCGTCGCGCCGTGTCCGCTAGCAGGTCGCTCGTTGATAGATGGCGCTGCAATGAATATCGGCGATGCCGTATACGGGATGCGTCGTTTCGGAATGGACGTGCATTATGATAGATGGGTGAGAGCGCGCCGTGCTACAGGTGACAAGTGGGAAGACAATTAGCCAGTTCAGACAATCAGCCAAACTGAGAATTCTCTGCTAATATGAGAAATGCACCAAATTCTGCACCAGCCCCTCTCAGTCATCTGGCGGAATAGCCGGGAGGGCTTCCGAAAGCAGAACAGGCCGAATCGAATGCATCACAAGAGCTCTGCTTTTCGATTGCTTGCTAGCCTGCAAATCGAATCGGCCGTATGACACGTATAGCGAGAACAACACTAGTGTGGCAACGTGTTATTACTTGTAATAAGGATTAGGTTAGGATAAGGTGTGCTCTCACCTGTGAAGGAGAGGCGTATGGCTTCCTCTCCGTGGCTGCGAGCTGCTGCCGCTGTGAACGATACTCTGCGGTTCTTTCCCGCCTCTTCTCCAACATCCACGCGTGCAGCTGCCGCCTTCTCTCCATGCTGTGAGCATCAGCCCGGGGCGTGAGTGACTTCGCACCAGCTCCCCTGAATAAGTGATATCGGAAAGTCCAGCTGTGTTATTTAGGTCATAGAAAAAGGGGGATAAAATGGCCGTGGCGCGCTACGGAAAGTTCATGATCAATGTAAGCATTCGTGCGTTTTTAGTTTTTGCATTAACACAAACATTGCAAAATATCCCAAATGACCACAATCATATTTGTAAATGTTTCTGTAAACAGAAACGCACCTGTGAATTGAAGTACGATGTTGGTGAAAAGAATTATAGATCAAAAACATAGACTAGTACTATCGTAACTACGTTATATATAGGCAACTTATCACCCCTCTTATCTGATCTCAATATGACGGCAGGGACTTTCCAATATGGCTTTTAGAGAGAACTCATTATCAGACGAATGTAGACAATTATTTCAATCATCTGCTGCTAATTATTCAATTGTTATTCTGGGTGAAAAATAAAAATAAATAAGATAAATAAGAGAAACAGATAAAGATGAAGAGTAGGAAATAAGTACATGAAAAATTTAGCAGATCGATAGAGAGGGAAGGGGAGAGCGAGACACCGGGCGAAAGAGGAAGTGAGAAAAAAAGAGACGAGTAAAGCATAGAGGATTTTCAAGTCGAGTGTTTGATTCACCATTTAGCCTCTAATTGGTGCATCTGCTCTTCTGTGACACCGATGTCATCAGGCTTGATGGTATGTATCACCTCAGCCAGGATATCACTGAGGCCACTGAGGTCATGCCCTGAACTGCAGCAGAAAAACTCGCTGTTACAAACGATGTTACGACCCACGCTACAATACCCACGTGGTTGTGAGAGTTAGTCCAACAATGCTTCATAACATTCATAACAGTATGTCAATATTAATAACAACAACAATAATACAACATTTGCTACAGTATGTAAATAATAATAATAATAATAATAATACATACATACATAAGGCATATATATATGTATATCGATATATATATATATATATATAGATATATATCGGGTTTACATGGTCAACCCAGAAGCCACCGGCTAATGCCGTGATCCACTTTGGAAATAATAATATATAATACATAATATGTAAACCCCTCACCTTGTCATCCCTGCTTGTGCCGACCTTCCTCCTTGCTGCCCTCGCGTCGACGCTTCTCCCTCTCTCGCTTCCCAGCCGTTTGCTTGCTTCTCCTCCAGCACGCGCGTCATCGACCCCCCGACCCCGTGCGTCATCGACCCCCCGACCCCGCGTGGATGCCTCGAGCTGCTCTGTCCCACGTGCAGCGACAGCGAGGGGAAGGAATCGAGCGACGTCACGGGGGTACTAGTCCTGTGTACGACGTCAGCGCGTGGCGGCCCGCTGCGTGACCGCGCCGACTCGCATGACTCGGTGATCTCATTCGCCCGCTGAAGTAGCTGTAGTGAAGGATTAGCTCGTTAGAATCGCAGTGACGCTAGTGTCGAGTTCGGAGCGAAATACGGATGTAATCTGAGAGGTGGGGCGGGTCGGCAGACAGAAATGCCAAGGTCGTTTAGAATTCAGGACACGTAAAACATTGATAGCCGAGTTTAGACATTGGTGTAAAAAATCTAGTGAGTTCTATTTACGACAAATAAACACTGGCTTATTTCCTTAGCTTTTGGCTATATTTCCACATTATAAATATTTGTTTACGCGAGTGTGACAACTCTATAAATATGTTTTATACCTACTACTTATACTGCCTACTTATACCTACTACCTAAGCCTACAACATATACTTACTACTTATATTTACTAGTCATACTTATACTTACTACTTGTACTTTTCGCATACCTGTTTAGTGTCAGCACACTCTTGTTCCACCTTGTGAGCTATTTCGTCAACAGCATTTAGTTGTCTGTCCATCTCTTTAAGCCTTCTATCCATAGAGGCTCTGGATTTCTTGTTCATGCTATCCTCCTCAAAGTCATCCACATATCTAAATAATACAAGTAAGCGATGATATGATATATTGGTATGTGGTAATATGTATGGTATATATGGTAAAAATATAAAATATATGGTATATGATATATACTTTTATTATATTATTAGACTATTACAGAGTATGAACCAGAAATTACTAAAGTAAAATATTCTATATACTATAGAATTCTATATTTCTATATGAACCCCAATGTTTAAGCAAGCATCGTGGAATTATTGTTGGATCAGGTGACCCTTCTGCTACGTAGATTCATGTAGTAGTGGCTAGTGATGGTGACAGCTTACCTCGTATTGAAGTCGTGCAATAGCAGCCTGGTCGTCACCTCATCCCCTCCCTCGCATGTACCCACGTCTGACTCTACACAGATGCTCCTCCTTTCCTGCATGTGAGGCAGTAACCCAACTTCCTTCTCCTTGCGGTGGGATGGGAACGTGATATCCTCCTCCTGGATGAGGGGAGAAGTGTGGATTCCTTCCCCCTGGATGAGGGGAGAAGTGTGGATTCCTGCCTCCTGGATGTGGGGAGAAGTATGGATTCCTTCCTCCTGGATGAGGTGAGAAGTGTGGATTCCTTCCCCCTGGATGAGGGAAGAAGTGTGGATTCCTTCCCCCTGGATGAGGGGTAAAGTGTGGATTCCTTCCCCCTGGATGAGGGGAGAAGTGTGGATTCCTTCCCCCTGGATGAGGGGAGAAGTGTGGATTCCTTCCTCCTGGATGAAGGGAGAAGTGTGGATTCCTCCCTCCTGGATGATGGGAGAAGTATGAATTCCTTCCTCCTGGATGTGGGGAGAAGTGTGGATTCCTTCACCCTGGATGAGGGGAGAAGTATGGATGTGCTCCTGGACGCGTGCGGGTAAAAGGAAGCCCTCTACCTGCACGCGGGGAGAGATACGAATCCCCTTCTCCCGGATGCTTAGAGGGACATGGGTCGCCTCCTCTTCCTCCTTGAGCGAGGGACGCACCCTCACCTCACGAGCGTAGTAGGGTCCGTGGATGTCATCTGTGGTGGCCGGCAGACGAGCTCGCTCGTTATCCACCCGCTCCTCGTTCAACGCCAGGCTTCCCATGATCTCCGCGACGGCCTCAGGGCCGAGGTCGACAATGTTGATGACTCGACCACCCGGTGGCGCCACCGGCTCCGCGGCGCCGGTGGGTTCCGCTCTCAGACCGAGCAGAATGTCGACGGGAAGGTGCGGAGCGAACGCTCTCGCTCCCGCCCCAGCCCCGCCCACATCATCCTCTACCACGTGCTCTTTCTCAGCCAGGCCTACCGCCTTTGCCGCACGCTCTTTCTCGGCTGTGCCATCCTCCTTGGGCATGCCCACCTCGCGCTCGAGTGCGAGTGCCTCCTCGGGCGAGGTCACGGGTGAGGTTGCGGCGTCGGCGACACGCACCGCTCGCTCGCGACCATGCGTCGGCGTCGCGTCGGTCATGGTCGCCGCGGCGGCCTGCGCGGGCAGCGGCATCGCGACAGCCACCCTGTACTGCGCGGCGGCATACGACGGCAGGTCTACAGGGGAACGCACACCGGTACGGGCGACAGTGTCGGAGAGCGATGGCGGCTCGTTCAGTGGGAGAACGTATCCGCTGTCGAGCGTCGGCGGGTCCGGTCGCTTCACCTCGGCCACAGGTGGCGCCACGTCTGCAGCAGGTGGCGCCACGTCTGCTGCAGGTGGCGCCTCGGTCACGTCGCGACGGCTGCGTCTCTTCACGCGAGCGTCCCTCGCACGCTCGTCACGTGCCTGCCACGCGTCTAGCCTCACCGCCAGCAGCGGTGGCTCGCGATCCGCGGCCGCGCGCTCGCGTCGACTGCCGGCGCCCTCTGCCAGCCTGCACCTCACCTTCTGCTCGTACGCGATGATGTCACCTGGGGGGACTAGCCGTGGTGCTGCGCCCTCTGGTGGCAGAGTGAGGAAGTGGTGAGGGGGAGCGGGTTCTAGCGGCTTTGTTGCCGGCAGATTTAGGAGTGGAATCTGACGTGGCTTTGGTGGCTTGTCTTTCGTTGGTCCGTGCACATACTCTCGTTGCGCGTACATGTGTTTCGGCTGCTTGTACACGTGTTCTTGTTGCGCATACATGTGTTTTGGCGGCTCGTGCACGTGTTCTCGCTGCGCGTACATGTGTTCTCGTTGCGCGTACACGTGTTCTCGTTGCGCATACATGTGTTTTGGCTGCTCGTATATGTAGTCTCGTTCCACATACGAGTGTTTTGGGTGCTCGTGCATGCGTTCCTGTCCGAACCCGTGTGTCGGCTTCAGGCGAACATCGTGGGGCGGTGGAAGCCAGCGCGCGTGCTCCCCCGCGACATGGTGCGTGATGCCAGGCACGTGCAGCAGCGGAAAGTCGGCCCAGGCCTCCCGCGTCCGGCCCACCTCTCTGGGCATCCCTCGCCGTCCCTCCGGCAAGAAGAGCAGAGGCAGAGATTCGACATCAGCCTGACGCAGCACACCGCGGTGCAGGAAGGTGAACGCGGCGCGTTCCCGCCGCGCGCTGCCGCCGCCGCCGCCGCACTCTCCCTCGCTGACGCTCGCGTCCGTCCGCAGATCCCCGATGTCCATCTTCCCGCTGCCGTCCGCGACCTCCTCCCGTCCATCGCTCGTCATCGTCTCTGGCTCCGTCTGCAGAGCGACGCTGCGACGCGCGCCGTGCGTCCGCGACGCCTCGTCGAGGCCGCCTCCCTGTTCAGCTGCGCCGGCGTCAGGGTGGGACGTCTGCGCAGTGTCAGGGTGTACGCGTGAGGTAGCTGCAGTGTCAGCTGCGCTCGTTGCCCCGAATGCGACCGTTGCCGTGTCGGTCGTGCTTCTACCGGCTGCAATGATTACCCCGTCGGCCCTGTTTCTACTGGTTTTCATGGTTACACCATCAGTCATTCTTGTACCGGTTGCCATGGTTACCCTGTCAGTCGTGCTTGTACTGGCGTCAGCTGCTGCTGGAGATGACTGTTGCTCTTGGTGAACAGAGGCATCACGACCTGTCGTATCACTCTGCGCGTATCGCTTCCTCTGCCGAGGATCATCCGCTGATGAGCGAGATTCAACTCCTCCTCCTTCTCCTCTCCCTGCTGCTTCTCCTCCTCCTCCTCCTTCTCCTTCTTCCGCTACTTCTGCACTTCTTCCTCCTGCCTCTCCTCCTGCTCCTCCTCCTCCTCCTCTCCCTGCTGCTTCTCCTTCTTCTTCTTCTTCTTCTTCTTTGCCTCCTCCTCCTCTTCTTCCTTCTCCTCCTACCCCTCCTGCCCCTCCTCCAGCACCATCATAGTAGGCATCGATGATGTCATGCAGTTTGTCCAGACGTGCCCAGCTCAACCTCATGCCGGCGGTCAGCGATGACCCTGGTGACCTCGGGGTCGTGAGGGTCGCGCCTCGCTCGCCCGTCGTCTCCCAGTCGCTCTCGTCCCTGCGATCGAGCGACTCGGTCTCCGTCCTCTCCGAGATGTCAGCCAGGTGGCGCTGCTGCGGCGTGCGGGGCGTCGCGGCGGCGCCTCTCTCGCTGCGGCGGCCACCAGGAGTCTTCCTCGGTGCGCGGCGTGCGGGGATGCTTGGGATCGACCAGGGGTCGGCCGGCGCCCCGACGCTGCTGCTGCTGCTATCACTCGCCTGCTCCTCCTCCTCGTCTTCTTCCCTCGCCTCCTCCTCCTCCTCCGCCTCTTCCTGCTCGTCGGCGGTGAGGGTACGGTCGAGACTCTCAGTCGTGAGATCGTCCGCGCTCGCCCTGTCCTCGTCGTTTCCCGAGTGCCCCGCTTTGCACTCAGTAGCGCCATCTAGCGGCGTCCGCGTCGCGTCCAGTCTCAGCTTTCGCTTCGATGACTTTGTTGTCGCGGCGGATGCAATCGTCGTCTCGCGTTGCTGCTCCGAGAGCCAGAGGCCGTGAACGACGAAGTCGGCGGACAAGTGAACGTGCATGACGGACGTCGTCGCCCTCGTCGGCGTGCCCAGCAGGTGGCGCCTCTGCGTCCACGCGACAAACCAGCGCACGAGGGCGAGCAGGCGGGCGTGGCGGTCGCCGAGCCGCGCCTCCGGCAGCCCGACGGCCCGCAGGGGGCTGGCGAGCGGCGCGCGGCTCTCCCGCGGCGCCACCTGGGGGAGATCCGACCAGCTGTAGCTGCGGTGGCGCGCGGCGGCGGGCGACGCGATGCGCGGCGCGGCACGTGCGGGGCGGATCTTGGCGCTGTCCGGGAGAAACGTCACGCTTCGCCGGGCCGTCTTCAGCGTCCCCTGGCTGCCGAACTTCTTGAGGATGGGCGTCGCGGCGAGCTCGCTCGCTTGCTTCGACACGTTTGACCAGCTGAGGCTGCGAAACAATCCGGCGAACTTCGACCCGAGATGCGACCGCTGCGGCGACAGCGACGACGAAGACTGCTTCTGACCGGCGGCTGGTGACCGCACGCTTCCCGCCATCCCCGCCGAGCCCCTCGCTAACCGTGGCGGCTTCTCGCTCACCGCCGAGGCGTCCGTGATGGAGGCCGCTGCCACTGCCGTGTGCGGGGAAGGCGTCAGCATGGGAGGCCGCAACAAGGAGGCGCCACCGTGCACGGGGCTCTGTACGGGGGAAGCACGCCGGACGCTGTCCATGCTGCGAGAGCGACGCTGCAGCCGCTGCTGCCACGCGCTCACCGCCGCCGCGCGCGGGGCGACGCGACTTAGCTGTCGCTCACGGACGCGCGCGGCGTGCCGCGGCAGCAGTGGTGGAGCCCCCGCGACGTCGTCGTCGTCCTCGCGCTTGCCGTAGCAGACGGCGTAAGCCGTGTCGAGAAAGCCGAGAAACTCCGCATCCGTCTCGTATGGCCGGCTGCCCGTAGAGGGCGCCACCGGTGCGCTCGCCGCCGCCGCCGCGTGCAGCGGGATGACGTGCAAGCGCGCGACGTCAAGCTCCGCCGTGACCTTGGGGTCGTCGCAGGTCGCGACCTTGTCGAACGTGACCTCGGTGCTGTACCCGGGTCGCCGTCTCGCCAGGTGGCGCCGGCGCCGCCGCACGAGCTGACACTGCTGGATGTAGTTGACGGAGAGCATGCGCGGTGACGTCACCGACGACACGCTGCTCTGCGGTGACAGCAGCAGCTCCACCGACGTCCGCCGCCGCCGCGCCGCGTCGACGACGCCCCGCGCTTCCCGGGGAGTCCTCCCCCGCTGCTGCCAGGGAGGGAAGCTCGCAGGAGTCTTCGTGGGGGAAGCCGCGGGGGACGTGGAGGAGGCGTCATCGTCGAGCGGCGAGGGGAGCGTGTCGAGGTGGATGCGACGCCAGCGCTTCATCAGCATCCTCATCTTCTCCGACACCTGCGCCGGGAATCGGGAGAATGGCTTCACACGGATGCTAGGGTTACGCGGCTATGAAGATCACAGATCACGCGTCTCAACATTAGTTTCTCTCAATCTTAACTTTTTTCTCATAGACCGGAGAAATATACTGTGTATGGAAAACTCAACATCATGTCACTCTCGTAACGTTACCTTGTTTCCGTCAACAGTCTGTGAGAAAAAGTTACTGTTGAGATTAATGTTGTTTAAATGTTAAGACTAATTTTGTTTCTATCAACAAGCCCCTGATTAATAGCATCACTAAGCGCATTTGAAAGCTACGGCGTGCGTAAACAGAGACGAGTGTCCAATACGATAACATGGCAGTAAAGGACTGATCAGAATCCCCCGAGCATGCAAACTCAGATGCTGGTCTAGTGAGATAACACATTAAATTCAAGGTTCACAGAGCATTTCCGCATGACCGATGCACCCTCTCACAGCCCTCTCTGCATAGCTTACCCTCCGTCCTCCATAGCTAACCCTCCGTCCTCCATAGCTAACCCTCCGTCCACCATAGCTAACCCTCCGTCCACCATAGCTAACCCTCCGTCCTCCATAGCTTACCTTCCGTCCACCATAGCTTACCCTCCGTCCACCATAGCTAACCCTCCGTCCTCCATAGCTAACCCTCCGTCCTCCATAGCTAACCCTCCGTCCACCATAGCTAACCCTCCGTCCACCATAGCTAACCCTCCGTCCACCATAGCTAACCCTCCGTCCACCATAGCTAACCCTCCGTCCACCATAGCTAACCCTCCGTGTTTCATAGCTAACCTTCCGTCCTCCATCGCTAAACCTCCGTCCTCCATAGCTAACCCTCCGTCCTCCATAGCTAACCCTCCATCCACCATAGCTAATCCTCCGTCCACCATAGCTAACCCTCCATGCTCCATAGCTAACCCACCGTCCACCATAGCTAACCCTCCGCAAGACATTAGGTACACCATGACGAAGTCTGTAAAAAGGACCCCCCTTAAACAAAAGCTACTACCCCTACCTACCCAAATTTTTCAGCCTGGGGGTCGGGGTGAGGGCACAACAAGATATTTGTCGTTAATCTGTGCGCC